CAACAAATTCGATTTCTCGGTTACTTACACTTCACAAAAATTTTTCGTTCTAAAAATCAGATCCAAAGATATCACTTCACAAGATTTTTTTCAATTAAATCAACTGCTTCTACAAAACTCTCCACACAGTTCCTTGAAGCCTCAGGTATTTGAAGTTCATCGCCTGCAAAATTAGGTTTTAAATCTGTAAAATTGAATACGAACTGGAGTAAAATGTAATTCTGTAACTTTAAACTATTTTAATTTGCAAATTAGTAAACATCAATATCAATTAAGCATATGCATAAATAGAAATGGAAGCCAATCAAGTTCTCTTATCTTTTTTCACTAATAGCATTAACAAATATTAACTAATTTACTAGTTTATTCCTAGTTTTAACATGAAACTACGAGTGAAATTTTCCATCATATCGTTAAACTGCATTCAAACTGAGATATATAAATGAAATTATGATTATATGAAATAAAACAACGAAGAAACCTTTACAATATTTGCCAGTTTTTACAAGGATTGCATGCATTCCAGCATTAATAGCCCCAAGAACATCATCCCGAACATCATCACCAATCATCACAGCTTGTTGCGGCGTTAAAGATTCATCGATACTAGCTAAAGCCGTCAAAAAGAACGCACGTTCCGGTTTACCGACCACTTGAGACTAATGAAAAAAAAAAAAAAAACCTATATTACATAGTAATTTCATTTTCCATCGTTTTTATTTTTTATTTTTTTTTTTCTGAAGAAAATGATAATAAATGGATCTCAGAATAAAAATGATAAACCAGCAATACTAAGCAATACAATAATAGCTCTATTAAAGAAGATTTACATTAACATCGGCAGCATATTCAAGAGCTTCTATGAATGGACCTGGTCCCAATGACAAACCATCTTTTTGTTTATAATATCGACCTTTATGAACGGCAACCAATTTCGCACCCTCTAATAGTAATCGAAATGCGTTATTTAAAGATGCAAAACTGAATTTGGAGGGAGCAAGTCCAACAACTACTGCATTTGGTTCCTTAACATCCACATCTAAATCATATCATCAATTAATGCATTCTAATAGTACTATGATAGTTAGTGAATATTTCTAGAATAAGATGGTAATAAAATGGCAGATTAATCATGCTCTTCAATTATACCAAATTAAATAAAATACTCGACAATATTTACCTTCAAAATCTTCAAGTGCAGCATCTTCTAGAAGTAACAACGGTCGTAGATTATCCTTTTTGATGAAATGTTTAACTGCCATAAGTGAACTAAATATTTCTGATCGTTTAATTCCCAATCCAAGCCTTGTAAGGCATACATGAAGTCTACCCAATGATTCCTGAAAAAAAGAAATGAAATTAAACTCAAAAAGCGTCTATGGATTTCCTAAATTTTTTAATTCTGGATTTAATTAAGTTTCCAAATTGTCGAAGCAAACAGAGACTACTGTTTATATATATACATATATATAGAAGTCCTACATAGAAAGACTTAAGACATTAAATAAAATTGTTAAGTTTTATTCTGCTTTTAATAGAAATAATGGATCCGAGCATGCAATAGAAACCTCATAAAATAATATCAAAAAGTAAACAGAATCAGTAAAATATATTAATGAAAGTTATAGAAATAAAATTGAAAAAATAAAAGTGGTCATATTGAAATTTAAAAATTCATAGAGAAAACTTCTTACAATTAGATTCTTACAAATAAAATTTCTTACAATTAGATGCTTACAGTTAGATCCATTATTTCTACTAAAAGCAGAATAAAACTTTAAGTATAAATTGTTTTATATTTCTCAATACTTGTCGTTTCAACAGTTGTCGATTGCAGTATTTCATGAAATATCATCAAAAGATTAATTACCTTTGTTGTATTGGTAACAAATTTGATAGCATAACGAGGATTATTCCTCAATCGTTGTAGAGCTGCTGGAACTCCAGCAATACAAATATCGTCAATATGTAGCGTTCCGGACAAATCAATTAGTACAGCAATGCGTCCAACTGATACCATTTCAACACGATCAAATTACCTACGTTTGATTATAGAAGTTATTCAATATAAAAAATACGTGGTTCACGTTAGATCAGTTATATATAACTAAGATGAGATCATTTATAATAAAGTATGAAATCATTGAATGATAACGTGAAATTTGTAAATTTTAACAATCGTCTCCAACTAAGCATTGAAATGATGATTTAGCCAATGCTTTAATCTAAAAGAGTTTTATCGAAAGAAATAATAACGAAATGACAACTGATCAATACTAGTGCCAAAAACGATTACGAGATGATAACTGATCAATACTAGTGCCAAAGACGATCACGAGATGATAACTGATCAATACTAGTGATATTAACCAAAGACGATCACGAGGTGATAACTGATAAATGATATTAACCAAAGACGATCACGAGGTGATAACTGATAAATGATATTAACCAAAGACGATCACGAGGTGATAACTGATAAATGATATTAACCAAAGACGATCACGAGGTGATAACTGATAAATGATATTAACCAAAGACGATCACGAGGTGATAACTGATAAATGATATTAACCAAAGACGATCACGAGGTGATAACTGATAAATGATATTAACCAAAGACGATCACGAGGTGATAACTGATAAATGATATTAACCAAAGACGATCACGAGGTGATAACTGATAAATGATATTAACCAAAGACGATCACGAGGTGATAACTGATAAATGATATTAACCAAAGACGATCACGAGGTGATAACTGATAAATGATATTAACCAAAGACGATCACGAGGTGATAACTGATAAATGATATTAACCAAAGACGATCACGAGGTGATAACTGATAAATACTAATGATATTAACCAAAGAGACCGATCGAACTGATAACCGACCACTACTAATATGAACAGAATCAATCCTACGGGAACACTGAACAGAAGGAACAATGCTTTTCGCGCAATGAGAAAGCGATGTCATAAAATTTCAATAGTCGCTACATTGTCAAAACAGTGTGCTAATGAATGAGAGAGCCGAGAAGTGAGTTGGAGGCGGAAAGTATCGATGAAGCCCAGTGTGTAAATACAACACTGAGCCCTAGGCTCGCTGGCCTAGTGTCTGAGTACTGGGGTAAGTATTGCTGGTACTTTGGTGCGTCTTAGGTCGTATAGTAATGCAAATATATTACTGCTATTGTTATAAAAAGGATAGAGTAACAAAGGTTGGCGCAAATGTCATTTAGAAATTTAATTGTTATTACGGATTAAATTTGTTGTTATAATGAATTATTGCATCTGTGATTGAAGAGAAAGTGTTAATCATACATTGCATTATTTGTAGATATAATAATTGATTAATAATTACATTATTCAATTAAACAGTAATAAATCAATTATATCATATGTGAAAACTATTTAGTAAAGAACAAAAAAGCAATAATACTGCATGAATAATTTTTATCGCAGAATATTAATCCCAACTAAGAAAATTGAATTTGGATATAATAAAATAAAAAAAAATTAAGAAGTCGAAAATGTGGAAATGATATCACACGGCTGTTTTTCCTTCTGGTATATAAAGTAATAGTTGTCATAAAAATATAAAATACTTTGTGTTTTGTGCCTGATTTTTATATTTTCAAAAGTTTTTCTCACTCTTTCCCCACTTTTTTCTCAAATCAAATCCTTAGCGAAATCTATTGCACACAAATGAAGTAGTTTTTGCTAACCTCGCAAAAATTTATTTTATTTGATTTCTTTGAACAAAAGCAATTCTCCAATTTGGGAGATCAATTCAAATGTAAGCTTTGTTGCTTTTTTTTTTTTCCTTCCTGATCATGTATATTTTCCTTAATAAATCATTTTAGAATTAGCAGCACTTTTTGAATGAATTTTTTAGAATTTATTAGGATGAGGTACGAGGTACAGATGTTAGGATTGTTATAGTTAACTTTAAGACCAACTGCTGTGAAGAAATCTGCGACATTTCCATTCCTTGAATTTCAGAAATAAAATTATAGATTTGCATATGAACGCAGACAATTTATGATTTCAAAATTTAATAGCCTATAATTCTCAGCCACAGCCTTCGTGCTGCTATTCTAATTCTATTTATCTATTGATATAAGCATATGCATATATTCATACGTAAGATTCTTTCATTATTGGCTTGATTTTTTTTTTTTTTTTTTTGAAGGAATGACTGAGTCATTTATTTAAATGTGATAAATTAAAAAAATAGAACTATCGAGTGCAGTCGATTGATATACAATACACTAAGTTAAAATATGCTAATGATAAGTAAAAACATTGGTGAAACAGCCATAATATTATCTTCAATGTAAACTATCATTTTAAAAATTGAAGGATGATAGCTTCCATTCTTATATACTGATAATATATAAGAAGATTCAAAATCTCTCCTCAACAGTTTAAAAAGTACGATTAACTTTTACTTATCAACAAAAATATTTTATCGCGTAATACAATACAGGTTTCATTTTATACGTTTATACAGTAGAATAATGGATTTTAACTTTAAAGAAGAAATATTTTCGGAAATTCTTTACACTTCGAGAATTTATAATAAAATTGCATGATAGCGTTTCGCCTCTTTAAAATGAACAATCATCTTTCATAAACATAATAAAATGTTTAAAAAAAAAAAATATTGCAATTGATCAGAAGTAATATATATATATATATATATATAGCAAGAAATTATATGTACAACGAAAAAAGCTAAACAGAAATCATAGCAAAAATATTAAAATTAATCCATTGAAGAATGAATCAGTCATTTTTTTTTTTGCATCACTATTAACATGCATATCAAATATATATAGCAAGAAAAAGAGCTATAAATAATTTCAATAGCTTATTCCAGAACAACGTATACCTTATAAATTAACATCTCAAACATGTCAATTTTTGTTTTAAGTTGAAAGTGATTCAAAAACGCAATAATATTACATTAACAATTCGACGTAGTATTTCATCCTATAATAACTTACAAATTGCTTGCAAATGCAAACATGTGGGTAACGATAATGTTTCCAAGTTAAAATCCGAATAAACAAATGGTTCAGAATTGAAAGGTGTTAAATAAGTACCCATCATAATCAGCGTATTCTGAAACATTGTTTATCGATAAAATATATAAGAATTTCAATGTGTAACAATTCAAAGTTTCTAAATTTAAAACTATATTACGCTTATCAGTTTACTGAATTTTGAGAGAAAAAAAAAACTTACAATATCAGCATCTGTTCCACCATTTGCTCTTGTTCTAGCATTTAACCTTTCAGAAACTTTAATTAGAAAATCAGGACTCAATCGTCTTTCTTCAAAGCCATCCGTTGGAGCATAATGTTGCAATATTGCCATCACCTGCAATTGAAGTCACTAATAGCACTGGTCAAGAAATGCATCACATTGAATGGGTATGCCTATAGTGAAAATTATATTCATCAAATATATACATTATAAAAAATTACTAAAATATATGGTGAAACTTTATCACAAGTATTCGTAAAACTTTATCACAAGATTGATGCATTAGCGCAATTAATTTTTAATCGGAATACTGATAAAAGATGCAATTGCATTTATTATTGTATTTGGATAAATATAAAAAGATAATTTAAGTAATACTACAAGAACTACGGTAATTGAACAGTTGATCTTCAAAAGTTTTTAATTAATTTGTAAGGTAATATGTGTGTTCATATTACAATCTTTAGCTTTTTTATTTCATAATTATAAGTTGAATTAAATCATGCATGGCATTGAATAGAAAGCTTCTACTCAACAAAAATTCTTCAAAATTAAAGTTAAATTAAACAGGCTCCAGCTCACCTGTTTTGGCTTCAATTTTGAGGTCATCTCACCGCATAAAGTGTCCAAATTTGATTCATCTTTTTTAGATTGCAGCAAATGAGATGCTTGCACCAACGGTTCTAAAGTTTCACGATGTGCAGATAGTCCATTTGCAGAAAGCCATGACTGCACTTCGGTAACATTATGTCTGGAATGTTGAATTAAAGTTAATGATTGTCTTTGAAGAAGTTAAATTTAGTGTAGTATATAAATATGAAAACAGAGTTATAATTTTTTATGATATGCATCATTTTACTTAATTTACCAATCAAATAATTGCTAAATTATAATTTTATTTAATTAAATTATAATCTACTTGATTTGTATAGCTTTTTCGAAATTGCATAATTCTTTCCTAAACATCAAATGATTTAATGCTAGCGCACAAATCCAGTAGGTCATTTGTCCAAACACTTGTCCTAATAGCACAGAATCTGCTCCATATACTTTGAGTTTGTTTTGAATGAAATTTAGCTGTAAAAAGGATGAATGAAAGTATAACCATACGTAATTTAAACCATTAAATTCATAGCAAAAGAAGCTTATTGACTGATTTCATTTTAAAAATTAATACGAAATGTAAAACTATTTGAATATGCAATTCATTCTGAAGTTAGCTTATAAAATGAACAATACTAACTAATTCAATTAAATCATCTAAAGCACGCTGTGAACTTTGCTCCTTCATTGACCGTCGTCGTTCATTATTCTCTGCGCTGATACCATTCATCATCTTTTGACTCGATTCATGTTGCAATATAGCAGGAACTATCAAATAAGAGCTATTTATTGAGTTTAAAAAAAAAAAAAAAAAAAAATAGCCATGAAATTTTAAAATACTGCAAAAAAAAAAAAAAAAAAATTTATCCTGAAAAATTAACCTATTTTTGGTGAAAGTACTGGTTCAATAGATCGTTTTAAAAGATTTTGAAATGATTCTTCAACACGAGCACGAAGTTGATTTCGTAAAGGACTTAGATCAAAATTTTGCATTCGTTGATTATTTTGCTTTTCAGAATTGGCCATAGACCATTCCTGAAAAAAAAGGAACAAAATCATTGAAATTCTGATCCAACAAAATAATTGTCTGTATATTTAAAAGAAGTGAAAACGATTATTTGAAAAATCCTTATTATATTACACAAAAAAAAAAAAAAAGAAAAATTTTTTTCAAATTTATTACACAATGCCTTACATTGTTATTTTCACCGCTGTACTGTCGTAAAAGATTTAATAAACGCCACGAATTAACCAACCATAATGATAATACATCCATATCATTTGAATGCTAAAAATGACAGTAAGATGACAGTTAGAAATAGCACTAAAATTGATTATGTTTTAAAAATGTTAGCAAGAATGCTTAATTAGACAAAAGCTAGAATTTAATAAAAATTATAATATAGCAAATGTAAATAAATAATGACTTATTTGCTACTTATTTGAAACGATACAAACAGATTTTAGTATTTTTCAAGTTTTTTGTTCAATATTTCTCTGTCATCTCCAAAAAAAAAAAACAGAATTCAGAAAAAAGAAATTAAAATTCAAAAAATGATAGTGCTGCAATTACGTCTTTCTCTAACTCAAATAAGGACAAATAATTATCATATCAGAGCAATTATCATATCAGAATGTTACATAATATCGATGTAATAAAATCTTAAATGATAACGAACTGATAATGTATCCTTCAGCACTATATGAATAGCTGAAAATAAACCAGTAAGACCCGCTTCGTCTTTGATATGATCATAGTATCGGAAGGCTGCAAGTAGAAGATATGCCGGCAAGCAAGGTGTTAACAGACGAGCAAGTCGTGGTTTCAAATCTGTAAGCTAATATAAATTTGGCAGATTTAAATCAACTAAACATTTGTTTGTTTTTTTTTTTTTAATTTTTTGCTTCGAAAATTTCAAGAAATATAATAAAAAATACTAGAAAGTTATAGGAGTGAAAATGAAGAAATAATAAAATACCCTAAACTTTTTTGAAATTTGAAAATTCACAGAGAAAATGCCTTGCGATTCAATATGACATACTTGAAGTGTAAGTTTAAATTGAGTCCAATGAATAACATTCCTTTTTTAAAGTTTAAAATTTCAAAACTTCTAATCTTGCCTAATAAAATAGAACTTACCACAAACAAGTATTCTTGTGAATTCTGGTACATTAAAAACTTCTAGAAGTGAAGAATGTTCAACATTATCTTTCTTTAGCATTTCCAAACGAATGATATCTGCATCAGAGGCATTATCTGAAATAATAAAAATCTTTTAAAATATTTGTTTCATTGAATAACTACTGAAACTACCAAAATATCAATCATTACTCATAAATCATTAGCATTCATTAGCTAAAAGTCGATATTTACTCTATTGTCAAAAATTTGGTAATTTCCGCTCATAATTTCTATAGTATATTGCAAAGTATCATTTCCGATAGCTTAAAATTTCCAAAAATGCATAACTAATCAAAAAGACTGATTAAATTTAACCAAGTGAAAAAGTGATTCGTCCGGAAGAGCCACGTAATTGTGCTCTCACTTCGGACAGTTCATCGGATTGTCGATTAATTTTGTCTTGTAAACTCTAAAACATATACAAAAAATTAATCAAATAAAAAATAAGAAAAAAAAAATTCAAAAATTTCCTAAAAAAATTCTTATTCATATGAAACTAAAATCAATTTAATTTAATTAAAATCCAACTATGCTAGATTATAATATTCAAATTAATTAATTCAAATAACTGTTTATTTACATATGCAGTTTCGAAAATTCCTTAATTCTTTTGTCTAATAATGCAGCAATAAACAACTTAAATTAACTCAATAAAAATATACGTTTACGATTTCTTCTTCTTCAAGGATCAAAATTGAATATATATAATCTATTATGTTTAATATACCAAATTCTCAGATGCCAACTGATTCAGTTGTTGATGAATATCAGATAATGTTTCTTTTGTCGAATGACTGTCATCCGTCGATTTCTGCAATTATTTTTATACGTAGCTATTTTTTAAGTTACCAAATTTTATTAAAAATATATTTTCAAATTTTTTATTTTCCAAGCATCAACTTGATTACAATTTTTTTTTACTCAATTTTAATTACATTATATTACAATTTTATAGCTAAATATACATTTTTTTTTTCTTCCTGAATGAAAATGAAAAGGTAAGTAGCTAGGAGATATTTGTGAATTTCGTGAAATTTAAAAAAAATTTGAAAACTTTTTCGTTACGTATTAGATAATTTATTGCGTACACTTATACTGTATGCAAAATATCGAATAAAGTATCATTAATTAAGTGATTAATTAATCCATAACATATAAATATTTAATGTTGTGACACAATTTAAATGTTTGTCACAATTTAAGCCATACAAAATTTTCTAAAATAAACTTTTTTAAGTGCAAAATCTTCACTTACACTTCTGGAATGCGATAAAATATCACCATCGATATCATCAGTGGGAAAGGTAAGTTGATAAAAATCAGATAAAGAAGACAGACGACTCAAATGATGATTCGAAGAGAAATACATGGATACAGTCGTCAAGTAATTCAAATAATTATAATTTCTTTTCAAATTCTCTCATACATAAACATATTATCAGACAGTGAGAATAGCATGAATGATAACTGAATTGCTTATCATTTAAATCTATAAAAATAATAAATATCTATTAAAACTTATATATTTTATTAAAAAATTGAAAGTCGCAATTTGATTTAATAAGGTAAAATGAGTTTTTGTTTGAAAATGATTACATTTATAAAATATTTGTCGAAAGAACCTATTTAAATAATCTATTCAAAATAAGAATTCATATTAAAAATAAATTTTAAAATTATGCTAAACAATATCAATCATAATATTTATGACAAATAATATTAATCATTATAGTTATATCTATGAGTAAAAAGTAAAAAAAAAAAAAAAAAAACGATAGATAAGCTATTGCTTCTTCAAATAATGTATTCGTGGCACGGATATCTACAATTTTTACTCAAACTTAAAAATATGAATAAAATAGAATAAATGATTTTATAAACGAAATAAATCAGAAAGGAAATTATGCGATAAAATTGATAAAATGAAACTTAATAAAATATAATGAAATTTTAAGAGTGGTATAAGAAATAATAGAGTAAGTAGTTATTTCTTAAATAGTTATACTAAAATGAAAACTGATAAATAACTTATTAAACAGACATCTTCTATTACATCATATCAACAAGATAATGAAGAAGAATTGAGTTACTGAAGAAGATGAATGATATTGACATAAACAACATAGTATTTTCAACTTGACTGAATCCATGTATTCGTTTATAATTACTGTCACATGATGATGACCTATTTAATTGTCACTTGCACTATAGTAGTTCATCTATTCGTTCAATATGTTAACAGATTAGAGGAAAGTAATGTTATATCTATCAAAATGATTTTACCTTTATAATAGTTCTCTCTTGTAATTCTCTCTCTCTCTCTCTCTCTCACTCTTTCTCTTTCTTTCAAATTTTTAAAGAAAAACTAAATGAAAGTACTAAAAGTTAATAAATTTCTATAATAAGGTGAGATATTTTTTTTTTTTTTAATTATAAATAATAATATGAAGCTAAGATATAATTACTATGTTTTTAAATTATAATGTGATAGAGAGGATGTGGTAAAAATTTTTAATGTCAACAAAAGTGCTAGTATAGGTTTATATTAAAATAAAAATAGAGAAATAGTTGTATGCAGCATTTAAGGGAAGTTATTTATAACTAAAGAGAGAGACAGAGAAGCATTTTTATTTATTATGAGAAAGTATATGAAATGATAGGTACTTAATTACTCGATGTAAACTTAACTCTAATGACATTTCCATTTCTACATTCGATTATCAATTAGTCTTTTTAACAAAATAAGCTTAATATATTGTTTTGAACAATAATGTAATGATGTAATGGAAACAATTTCCCATTAATTATAAACTATTCAATAATTTTTGCAACTAGGCCTAATTCTTATCATTCTTTTTACATTCTTATATCATTCTTTTATCTCTAATAAATTATTCTTTTTAATCATTCTTTTTACCTCTAATAAATTCCAAATTATACCATTTTAAAATTCAAATCACTCATCTGTACATTCAGATATTATGATTGTAACTATTAATTAACAAAAATGATGCAAAAAAAAAAAAATATGAAAACAGAATGCTATAAAGATGATAAAAATATTAATTATTAACTATTAACAAAAATTATGTAACAGACATAGTTTAAGAGCACTGTATAATGATTATAACAAAAAATTCATTGATACTAGCAGCAAAAATTTAAGGAAATAAATTAAACTAAAAATATAGCATTGAAAAATTATACCCAAATAATTTTGAACAAAGTAAATCTGATCAGACTATTCTAATCAAAGAAAGGCAAATAGGTTTATCAGTTAAACACAAGAAATTTTCATTAATATAGCTTAAAAGAGAAGAAAAAAAAAACGATGGAAATAAATCAAACGGAAGTGCAATCATTCGTGAGAAAATTTGATTTGAAAAATGATAGAAATTGAGAAAATTTTAAAGATAAATCATCGATTATGTGAAATTAATTCATTACAATTAGAAATTTTTATGATTAAAATAATAAAGATCAAAAGAAAAGTGTGTAATATCAAATGTTTGCATTAAGTTGTAAATAATCTCAAATATATTACACTGATAGAAATATTTTAGAAAAATAATTTTGTCATACTTAAAACTCATCTACGTACCTTTACGTAATTACTTCATTTCAAAGAATCATTTTACTACTAATCAAAGATTATTTAATCATAAATCTATTTATCACTTCCCAATCTCAGGAAAAAAAATTTCTTCTTTTTCACAGTAAATAATAAACAAAAATTCTGAACAAAATATTTGAAAAATAAATAGATAACTTAAGATAATTCTTGACAAGGAATTTAACGAAAGTTAAATTTTGATGGATAAACAAAAATAAAATTAGGAATGTGGTGTGATCCAAAATTTAAAAAACATTCAGAAAAAGGCTATGTTTAAAAACAGAATTAATTTTTAAACAGGATTAAATGCTTTTTTTTTTTTTCTTGAATACCTTATAGGTTTATTTTTATTACCTCTATCATAACACTATTATCAATAATTGATTTAAAAAAAAAAGTTACAATATATTGATAATAAAGCTACTTAAATGGAACATTTTTAAATAAATTAATTGCGGAAATTTATTATTTTAAATTCAATTTTCCTTTGGCTCTTTTTATTCTGTACATTTCAATAATTTTTAAATGTAAAACATAAAAAATTTCATAAAATTTTGATCAATACAATACATTAAAGAGAAATTGGAAAGAAAATGAAGAAATCAAAATGGTTGTTAGAAGAGAAATGCTGTAAAAAGGATGAAAAATAGAGATGTATATTAGATGAATGATTATGACAAAGGCAAGAATAATACATAAATAATACATTTTGAAAGGAAAGGAAATAGTGAAAAAGAATAAAATGGAAGAAATCAAATAAAATATCTCTCACTCGCGCATTTACAATGTTAATAAAATTTAATAAAAGTTATTCATGACAATTGCGCATTTATTCGCTCTTTTATGAATGGTATATATTGTTGAAATGAATGAATATAGTATTTGGGAAATTTTTATTAATTAGAATAACAATTATGTATTACAGTTATATATAGTTTATTACTAAAATACTTATCAAATCTTTTAAATTCTGATAAGTCTGACTTTAAAAACAAAAAATATTGAAATAAAGAAATATTAAAATAGATAGTATACATATTGAAATTTGTTTCATTAATTCATTGATGCTCAAATTTCAGTTTAATAAATTTTCAATTTTTTAAACATAGGCTGTCTTATGTAATAATAATCACTTGTTTGAAAAGAGAGTTAAAATATAGACACTTTAAAATATTTTAAAATTTGAAACTTATGAATGAAATGAGTGTTTAAAGAAATTCGATACCCATTATTTGTTATTTTTAACTCATTATACTGGTAGTATGCTATATGTTCAAATAGAAATGATTTGATCAAAATAAAAATCTTGAAATAAATGAAAAAAGTGAAAAAATCTATTTCTATTTGAAATTTACCTTTTTACCTCAGGAATTTCTGATGCTTTTTTGAAGCGCAAAAATTCATGAAAAATTTATGAAACACAAAAGTTGAATTTATGAAACACCACTTCAACTTTTGCTCCCATCAACTCTTTCACATCTCTTTTCTAATCCCTAATGGTTAATTATGAGAATTAAATTTTATAACAGAAAAATTTTTTTAAAAAAGTAAAAAATTGAAATTATAAAATCAAAAATAGAAAAAAAAAACTAGGAATTTTTACTGGAATGGAATCATTATAAGGTAACAAATTTCAAAAAATGACAAACCAAAATCATTCTATCAGCGTAAACTGAAAATTTTTTAATATTACATTATTATATTTATACATACATAATATATTACTTAGAGGGCAGTGCTTTGCTTTCAATGCAAATGGAACACATTTTTTTAATCCATCAACAAAAAAAAAAAATAAATAATAATAAAAATAAAATGAGCTATCGAAGAAAAGGAAAAATTTCCTTTTTTTTAATAAATGAAAAAGCAGAGAAACAGCAAATAAATCGTTGATTAAAAGGAAAGAAAATCATCTATATGAGATCATAATGAATCAGAAAATTGATAAACTAAAAAAAATTAATAAATTATAGGAGTAAATTAATAAATTAATTAAATATATAAAATAAGATGAGAATCAATAAAAGTAGTTCATGTTTTGCTTACAGACGTCTTTCTAGAAATTTGATGGCAAATTGAAAATGAAAAAAAAAAAAAGTACATATTAGAAATGTTTTCCAAAAATTCCAGTTCTTTCTCTTTTATCCCATTAGATTTAAAATAAAATTACAAAAAGTAGTCATTCAAAACTTGTTGTTGACACATACATACATACTCATGTATATATATATATATACGTACGTACGTACACAGTTGAAAATTACTAAAGTAATTTATTGTATAAAATTTTCAAATTTATTTATATAAAAGGATATAATCGCTCAGATATAAGCATTTTTATGAAAGCTGTAGTAAAAAGCTGCAACAACAACATTAATACCTAAATCTTTTATTCTTTAAAAGAGACTTAAAAAACACAACTTTAAAATTTAACGACACTATTTATAAAATAATTATATTATTTGTTTGAAATTATATAAAGAATAAGGGCTCAATAATATAGTAAATGTGAGTTGTTCTTCGATATCTTCTACGAACATTTTATAATTAGTTACTATTTCAATTAAAATTTCACTAATATTACAATCCTTAATTCGTAAATTTTATTTACTAGGACAATTAACCAAGTTTGGATAAATTAAAATTCTAAATGTTTGCTTACCTTTGAAGTTGTGAATTCATTTAAACGCTGTTCCAATCGCTCAATTTCTGCATTCCTTTCAGTGATTGTTCGCGAAAGCATTCTGAAACATCAGTTTTTTAAAAAATTTCGAACGAAAAAAAGAAATTAAGAAAAAAGAAATTATGAATTTCATTTCAGACATTGTTTACTCATTTTAATAGGCCTAAATAACATCTGTATTAATAATTACCATAAAAAAAATGAATTTATGATAATAATAAATTAGCTAGAAAGAATTCATATTCACTGTATATGTAACTTCAACTGGCGACATTGTCTTCCTAAGTTCAATTCTTCATCCAAATCACTGCAGAAACTATCATCGCTTTGTGTGCTAGACCATTGGTCACCATCTGGACGTGATGAATTTGAAACTTGAGCTCGTTGTTCAAATCGTGCAGCCAATATGGCTCGTAATTCAACAGCTTCTTCTCGACGCCTCAAGAAAAAATAAATTTAATAAATATTTTATGGTGGCTAAATGCAGATGCAAGATTTTTTTTCCCTTTCTAGAAAAAAAAAAAAACTGTAATAGCTATCAAAAAGCTTCATAAAATTAAAATTTATGCTTACACTATGAAATTGCAAAAAATTGATTATCGTTTTTGCAGTGTATGTAAAAAATGATTTCAGTAATTAAACAAATAAGTAATGAAGTGCATATAGAAAAGCTTTGTACAAGATTAAACATTTATTTTTTAAAAGTGCATAAGAAGTTCCAATGCAATAATGCCAATTAACTTTTTTTTAAATATATGAAAATCAACTGTTCAGGAAAAAGTTATGACTGCGAAATAAATTTAAATGACAAAGAGAAAATATATTTTCTTTAAATGCAAATACACCGCAGCTGTATTTGAGAGTAAATCCATTCACGTACCTATCATTTTCTTCTACTATTTTTTCAACAAATGATCGAAAATTCATTGCTTCAGAGCCATTTTGCACTTTCTCTTCAAGTAATCGTTCCACTTCGTCTTTAAGCTTCTTATATGCCAATTCAAGTTCCTACAATGATGAAATTTAAATTCGCTTTTTTTTCATATCACTTCGTTATGAAACATTCTAAAATTTGAATCAAAACTTCAATGTTTAAAGAAACTAAAAAATTTTTAATAAATCAAAAACAAAATGTAATTTACTTGCATTCGCTGAGCATCAAAAGCTTTCATAGCAATTCGCTTATCTAAATTTTCAACCAGCAAATTAGCATCCATTATTGATTTCAAACGATCGTTTTCTCTTGAAATCTGCTCCATTCTGTAAAAAAAAAAAAAGTATTACTTTTTTTATATGGTTGTATCAGATTTTAATTATCCATAACGAGTAATATGGAAATATGAAATAGACAAGACCTTTCAAGATATTTTGAGAGAAGTTATAGCTTCCCATGAATATAACAATTAAATATTTAACAACATAGCTAAAGTTCTGCTTTTCTTTCCTATTAATTCTAATTTTAAAGTTGTAAATGTGGATGAAAAAAAAGCAAACTTTCATTAAAATGCTAAAAATTGCATTTGTATAATCAAAGACTGATAGTTTGAATTAATCAGCAAATCACTGCAAACTAGACAAGCATACTTGGAGCGAAGAGAATTAATAACATGTTGTTGCTTCAATATAAGGACCACTTCATCAATCTCATTACTGTCTAAACCAATGGTAACTATTTTGCCATTTGTATCACCGATCAAAATTGATTGATTCAAATTTTTTTGTGTAAGTCGCATGCCTTAAAAGATGTTATCATTATTACTTGTAACACTAAGCTAATTCAATATTACAGATCATAGATTGAAGAAAATTATTAGAAAATCATTACAAAATTATCAGTGATATTTTATCATTCTTCAACAGTTACCAAAAACATAGATCCAATAAAAAGTTGCATAAATTTGTGAAAAGCTATAAAAATTTAATTCAATTGAAGAAATTTTGTTGAGAAAAATTAAAAGTGAAAAATGAAAAATAATGAGATAAGATGCTATTATCACTAGGCTATTATCATCATGAAGATACTATCATTAGCATCTGGGCAATTTAACTAGCTGCGAAATCAATTAAAACATTTAATTCGAGTGTTGTTTGAAAGTCTACTTAAAAATGCATACATAAAGAGAAATAAAAATGCTGCTGAAAGAATCAGGAATGGATAAAAACCACTATTAAAAAAAAGCAATAATAGAAAAAATGAAGTTCTGAATAAGTTTTAAAGCAAAAATTTACTTCCAGTTCGACTTAATGCTGGACTAGCTAAAAGATTAGCATTTGCAAGCAACTGTTCACGCATCTGTGATATTTCTTGTTCCGATGCCAAGTAACGGTTCTTCTCTGTAATGATGAATATTTTAAATGAATTTCATGAATTTGGTAGAAAGCAAAAGCAAGTTAGGCTTAAAAATACATCTTTTTTTCTTCTTACACATATATCGAATAATAAAAATTAACAAAAATTCTTAGAACATAATAAATTTTAAGTTACAAATATCCTTTAAAAATAATTTAAATGTAAACCTTTAGCTAATTCAACATCCACCAATTTCTTCTGCTTCATTAAATTATTGTAACGAGTACGAAGATTTGACAATTCAGTGTTCAAAGCATTTATTTTCGCAATTGTTTCTTCAAATTCCTGAAATTTTTGGACAAAAATTTGAAGAAATTAAATTGATCTAAAGATATTTTCGACATAAGCCGTATGGTTGAATGATATGCAAATCAAATGAACGATTCATTTCTCACCGATTGTTATCATTTGACATTAAATGGCTCTCTGATCAGCTAATATTGATAAGAATAATTCAGATGTATGTGCAACTATGATATTTCATTCTTTTTCATTTACTTTTTTTTGATTGTGTTTGAAGTTATTTGTTAAAAAGCATTCTATGCCTCCCAGTTTCAATTCTAAGCAAAATAAATAATCTATATATAATTTCATAAATTTATAAGAGAAAGTTAGAAATAACCATTTTCAATCTATCTTTCGTATTTTGTAGTTCTTCCTCTAATTTAATATTCTTTGCTGCTTCTTCTTTCCGACTAGCTTCTAATAATTTCACTTTTGCTTCCAAATCTTCCGCATGTGCTTTGGTAGCCAGCAGTACACATCTATAATAATTAATTTAATGATAAGACAATAACAAATAATAATTATAATCTCAAATTGATACAATCATTGATAAAAATCATGTACTAAGCAACTGGTTTGTATGCATTTATGTATAAGTGAATGCGATTTATACGCTTCAATAGAATTGTTTCAAATTGTAATTCAAATATCGCACTGAAAATTTAGGAACTAAAGGTGACTGAATATAATCGAATTAGTGAACCAAGGTTAAAAAAAAATTTTGTTGGTGGTAACCTAATTCAAGAGCAATTTAATATAACAGAAAATAACTTTAAAATAGTGAAAAATAATGATAAGTGGCTTGAATCATAACAAATAATAAAGAAATACCAAGAATAATAGTCGAAATTCCACAGAAAACAAATATGTTAACTATTGGGAATCACTGTTTTATAAATCAAAATAACAATAAAATCATGAGTCAAAGCCATTTTACAATGTTTGATATCAAAAATTGCTTTTGGGAAATATTTTTTGTCTCAAAAAGTAGAAAAAGAAAAATGCAATGATAAAGAGATAAAAACTAAACTAAACTAAACTAAAACATTTTGAGATAAAAATGAAATAAATTTTTTAACTGAAAAAAAAGAAATGTAAATAGTAGAGAATTTCAACAAGGCATAATTAAAATTTTAAGTAAAGGATATAATTAGAAAGAACAAGGAAAAACCTTTGTGTCTCCAAATTTGCCATTTCTACCCGCATTTTATCAGCTTCTGCTGAAATTGTCCATAATCGACCATTTTCTGCAGTCTAGATTAAATCGTAGAAGAAATATACTAGCGTAACTTTGCAATTGTTTAAATTTAAATATGTTGCTGATTTGAGAAGTTGCGCAATCAAGTTTAAATTTGAATCTATAACGCAAAGAAAGAAATGGGAAATCGGAGAAATTTGCACATTTAAAATATTGCATAAGGTTTCTAACAGTAAAAAGTAAAAACTTTGTCTTACTCTCATAAATTGTATGTAACTAAATCAAGTTTGGATCCATCTCACTATTAACATTTTATTATCATTTTAAAATGCCCGAAGAAATGCTCTACTTTTAAGGCCAGCAGTTTTATTCTTATTACTAATGATTACTAAAATATTACAACAAAAGCATACCATGAAATCGAGTTTTTGCTGCAACGAAATGATCTTATTTTCAAGGCCTTTATTTAGTTTCTGCAAATGTCCAACAGATCGAGCTTCAATCTAAAATTATATAGAAATTTAATGGAGATTAAGAAAAAAAAAAAAAAAGTTCCTCAATTACAGAGTAATCAAGCCCTCATTGATAACTTCTAGCTTGAAAATTTTATAAGTACTAATTAAAGCATTGCTCCATTTTTTGCTCACAAAAATAATTCATAAATTGGCTAAAGTACAAAAAAATACAGAAATTTTTCGAAGAATAAAATAATTTGATTTTTTGGCAAACAATAATAAAGTCGTGATAAATCAATAAACAAATTAATATTAAGGTAAAAATGCTTTCTGTAAAATAAATTACTTGAATTCTTGTTAAAAATGTATTTTTAGCTATCTATTATTTGCTATCAGAATATAAACAAAAATATTATTACCAATATTTTACACCTGTTTATTTACATTAAATTATTAAATAATTAACTTTAATAATTATTACTTACATATCTTTTGCAATTCATCACAAGTAAATTCGCAGTAAAATGAGAGATGACAACTGATATCATGAATAAGAAAGCAAACAAAAGCTATTCATAATGATTACATATGAAACGAAGTACATAAATGACAAGTACTAACCTTCAATTCACGTAGACGCCTCCTTGCAAGCCATTGTCGCACTTGACATTGTATCATGACGATCTTTTTGTTATGATCGATCTGATGACGCCTCACTAGCCAGCCACGACAATATTTTTGAATTACGATTGCTTTCTGCTCGTGCCGTAACTAAAATTGAAAATAAATTCATAAGCAATGAATAGAAATATTAGTGTACGGAAATGACAAAATTCAGAATGATCAGAATGATCAGTTGAAATTCAAAAAAAAAAATAATTAAATAAATAAAAATAGAAATAAAAACAATTTGGTCAAAATTAAACTCGATTGTAATTTCGGCAACTCTTTGTAATTTATTTCAAATTTCAACTAACGTTTAACATACGTTTGAGTAATTTAACAAAGTGTAATATCAAGTTAAAACAAAAGGAAAAAAAAAAGAAATGTTAAACTAAATAAAGTATATGAATGTGTATATGTAGGATTATTGAAATCTGAAATGCAGATTTCTAATATAGCAAAATAATTGAAAAATATTTTATTTGAAAATAAGTTAAAAACTGAATATACGAGCAATTGTCGACTTAAAACATTCATATTATATAAAGGATAAGAAAGTAGCCACATACTAATTCAATTTTTTAAACAAAGAAAATTTAGATTAATTAGAAAGTTTGCTTTTAAATCATGATATAGCGCTGAATAGTTTATAAGTTATTTCGAAAAAGAAGCAATTAAAATTGAGTCCAATTTGTAAAAAATTAAGATAGTTGAATTTTCTAAATTGCATTTTGAGGTATAAAACCAACTAAGAGCATATTGGAGATTATTGAAAATCAAATAAAGGAGAAAACCAGACATATCACAAAATTTAGGCCAGAGACATTCATAAAGACAAATTCTTTCCAATCAAATTTTAGACAATAATATTTATTGTTCCTGTTTTTTTTTAAAAAAAAAAAAAAAGATGAAAAAAACAAATAAATGATTCGAAGTATTTTATAATAACCATAGTGATTATTATACACAGAAAGGTTTACACTTTCATATTAAAAAAAAACTGCTAAAATTTCCAGAAATTTCACAAGGAAAATGACACATAAAATTGAATAAAATAAGTAGGAAATGAATTAACCTTGGAATTTTCATGTCATTCTTCTTGATTAACCAATGAATGGATCATTAAAAGTTCACAAAAATTTCATGGAATGTCCCAATAACTAATCATCAAAGAGGATAATACTATTCAAACTACTCAAGATGATTGTTTCTGTGATCAATAAAGTAATGTGGAAATATTAAATTCAGAATGACCTTTAACTAGGACAAAAATTTTTAAATTTATAGCTATTTATATAACATATATAATTCGTATGTAATCATGCAGATTATATATCTCAGTGAAAGCTTGTACCAGCTGTCACCTAAACAATTTAGTACTATAATATCTTACTAATACAAATACATGAAAGTAAAGTAATTAGAATTATTGAAATTATAATGATTGCAAACAATCCTAGAACATATTCATTAATTTATCATTCATTCATTCACTAATAACTAACATTAATAATATATATATCAGTTATTCCAAATATGTTATCCTTATCCACTAATTACTGATCATACTGTGGTGATAAATGCAGTGATAAATTTAAATACCTTTTCTATTTTTTGACGTATAAGCGATGCTCGATAATGAGTTTGTATCATGATAATAACTGCTTTCAGTAATGTGTAACGATGCTGTGCTGTGTAGCGACGAAATGCAGTTTGTATGCAAACTGCAGCACGATACATTTGAATATATTTCATGCGTCTGTACATTAGGAATGCACGCGAATAAAGCTAAAAGATATTCCAGAACTGACATCAGTTTAAAGTGATTTGAAAATTTAATTAACCATTATTAGTTACGGTTGATGAAAAAAAAAAACGCAAATTTGAAAAAATGAACAGATACATGGAAAATACCTGAATTTTCAGTAATGATTCTTTGATATTTTGATATTTTTTTCGACAAATGTAACCTTTCCAAATCTTCTGAATCATTATTGTTGAATTTGCTAATTTTTCGTGAAGTATTCTTTCCAATAAAGCTACCTGTCCAGTTCGAAAGAATACCTTTGTTTTACCCAAAGCATACATTTTATTCTGCAACACACTAATATTGCAAAATTTCATTGATAATAATTATAAACTGCATATAAATAAAAAAGTGATAACATTTAAACATTTCATTCGATATCATTTTCAAATTTCATAAAGAAATTACACAATCTGCCAAAGTTCAATTACAAGTTTTTAAATTAAATACAAAAACGAATATCTTATAACACGGCCATCGAAAAACCGATTTTAAGCGGAAAAGAAAAAGGAGTTCTGTCTTCGGAAGTTTTTTTCTTTATTTTAATGAAAAGTAGGCAAGTCTGTTAAAAGTTATGCTTGAGATGATAGAATTGGATATAAATATGATAATATGATAAGAAACTATGAAATGAGAAAAGTCAATTTATGAAAGTTATCGCACGTAATTAATTGTTCTAACTGCAACAAATCTGAATAACAGTGTAGAATGAAAGCATACCTCAAGATATTTACTACATGCTTTTTCTGCAAAAATTCTTGGCTCTTCTAGCCATAACTTCTTTTCTGGATAAAGAACTCGGTACCTCCGAGAAAAATCTTCATACATCCATCTACAAATAAACTACAATGAACAGTAATTTAATAAAGAGTATATTTTGCTGCTAATAGATACGCAAATACTTGCAAAATAAAGTCATAAAACATTTAAAGAAAGTCACTAAGAAATATTCAGGAATAATTTTTAGCTTCCTCTAAAAAGATAGCTTCACAACCTATTGATAGTAGCTCATCTATCTTTAACAAAATTCGGATAATTAAAGAAAAGACTTAAGCATTGGATAATTTGATAAAAAAGAAGAATGATTACCATAATTAATACCTTGAAGGATATCCGGCAGCTGATATACGCACCGTTTCAAGAACTCCGCAAGCTCGAAGCTGTTGAATAGCTCGTTTAGGTGTGAATGTAAATGGTAATTTCTCATCATTTGGCTTGATGCAACGTACGTAGTGTGGCCGTGTGGTACTTAGAACTGCCATTAAGTCACGCAATGAATCACGAAACTATAACGTGGATTTAAATCAATGAGACAATAATAGGTCAAGTTAATTCCGAATTTAATTTTAGTTTATAGCTGAAAATTTTCTTAGAAAAAAAAAAAACAGCACGACAACTTTTGCTAATCCCTTCGGCTAGAATTAAAATTTTAAAGAAAAAAAAAATTTAAAAAAAAATGTTATATAATTCTCCTGATTTAAATAGCTGAAAATGAATAATGGAAAATTTTACTTTATTTGACGCTATTTATTTATTAACCTTAGAAAAGAAAAAGAAATTTAGACAAAAGGATGTGAATTATAAACTGTGGGCTTTCCACTAATATGCATTCCACATCCAACCGTTGATGTTACAGTAGAAAAATTGTATATCATTTTTTTTGAAAGCCTTAATTTTTTTCTGAACCACTTGTAAAAAACTAAAAACTGAAAAATATTGAAAAACACGACAATTGCAAGCATACCTGGAAAGAGACGGATTTCTTCATGGAATGCTCGGTATTGGGTATAAGAAAGTTGGTCCCACGTCCGAATGGCTTTTTGTCATTCTCGACATCCAGTATCTCACGCATTAAGTCAAACTGAAATTGAAATTTTAAAAAAATGAGAAATAAAACTAATATTGAAGTACCACACTGTCACTTATTTTACAGTATATATATATAATACTGTCATCGCCTAGTTGTTAAACTAAATTAACTAAATTAGCATTTATTGATATCGGTATTAAAGTCTAAGACTTTCTGGAATAGTAAACAGATAACCAAAATAAGAGCCTTTCAAACAAATAAATTTAATAGACAATTTTCTTTGCTTACTTTCTATTATCCAATTATTAATATTATCATTATTAACCTTGCTATTCTTCATAACTGCTATTAATTGTTGACTTATTGTATCCTTATTCTTCGCCAAGAAACCATCCACATTATAAGTAACATCGGCAGCAAAATGTCTGATTATGAATGTTGGATTCTAAGAAAAGAGAAATTTTTCAAAGAAGGAGTTCCAAATTCTATTTAAAAAAAATATGACATTTGAAGTCATACTTTTATCTTCGGTAACTGGAAATGTTGCGCTTTTTTGAGCATTTGGCATGTTCGTAATTTTTCTAACCAATCTCGATCAGTTCCCTGACCCATCTAAATAGATTTATTTTTATAATGTTTAAATTTTGTTCATTCAAAATCCTACCATAAATAATGGAAAATAAATAATGTAACTGTTTCAAATAATACCTCAAAAGCAAACAGCTAGAATGATATTTTTTATAAAATGGCTTCAAAACTATTGGTGTGAGTGTAAATAATGCATAATTTACTTACAATTATTTCTATTTGTAAATAATTCAGCTTATTTACTTTACTCGTAATAAGATTATTAACTATGCTACAACAGTTTCCTTAAATATTCGATGGAAAGTGTACCTTGCATTGCTCGTCAAGATAATCAATGATGCCAGGTCTACCTTCTATCAAATCAATACATGGCTGATTGTCGTAAAAATCAATCCGTATCCAGTCAATCTCCTCTCGTTCATATTCCGACTGTTCAAGTTTAAATACATGCTAAAATTTCATTGATAAAATAGGGATATGAAAAAACTGTTCATAATCGTTTACTTCTTTTTTTTTTTTTTTTGTTTAGTAAAATAAATTAGGTTCTCAAATCTTAGACTTTCAAAAATCGGACAGAAATTTCCACAGTTTTTCTTTCTTGATTCTAAATTTTTCGGAATTTTCACCGTTTTTTAAAGGCACATGAAATATATTATTTATTACTGTTATATTTGAATACATTGAACATTTCGACAGTTCAGTAAAGTAAAGTAAAATTACCATTAAGTAAAATCAAACGAAGTGCACTACAATTTTTAATTAACAGACGTTTGAAGCTGACCTGACAAAATTGTTGTTGAAGTTTTTCATTCGCATAATTAATGCAGAACTGTTCGAAACTGTTAACTTCCAAAGTTTCAAATCTGTAATTAGTATTATTACTTCTTTACTGTCCACTCTTACATCATACGAAATACCTGAAATAAACCAGGAATTTTAAAATAGCTAATTTCTCAAAGTAAATCAGACAAACCCATATATGTCGAGAACTCCAATGAACCGTTTAGTGTTCTTTGATTTATTGTTTTTCAATTGTTCTCCCAAAGCTTCGTTTACTTTTTTAACTATCCAAGAAAACGCTGCGGCATAAAGAATCTTAACTAACGCATCCCGGCGTTCTACTGCCTTTAAGATTGCAAGATTTTGTATTTCATGGTAATTTTTGAGAAACTTCATTTCAAACGAAGATAGAAAATAATCGAACGTAATGAAACTGTGTCAGATATTTTTCAGAAATAATAATGCAGAAATTTTTAAAAAAAAAAAAAAGAAAACTAGCTTCAGCAGTAGTCAGTGGTTTCCGAACAGATTCACCTCCAGCAATAATTTCGCGAACAATTAACCACATGCATAAATCGTTTTCGTTTATTTCGTACATCTTTTCACACAGTTGACTGATTGTATCGGAACTACTTTGCTTAAGATAACACAGAATTAAAAAAATCGAAAGAGTTATACAAACAAATCAGTTCATAAATGCTTTAATTTTCATCAAATAAAATTTTTCTCATTATAAGATGAACAAATTATCCTAATGTAAGTTTCAAAAACCTTTCAGATTTCATTATATATGTAAAACAGTCTAACAAATTGAAAAATATAAAATTGATAAGCTAATAGGAAGCATAATTATGCGCAAAATTGGATTCATCTCAAACTTTACAACTACCACAGCACAAATAAATGAAAACAATTATTTCAAAACAAACGGAATTAAATTTCTATTAAACTATTTAAATGTTAAACAATTTAAAAGGGTTAAATGGAAAGATATTGAGAAGTGTCATTTTTAATAGCATATTATCTAGTAAATAACTTACATCAATTTTTGTACATTCATTGGATCTATCAGCAAATCTTATATTGCCAAACAGAAGAAGACCCGCAAACAAACGAAGTATCGACTTTTGAGTGTCCGTTGAAATTCGAAGAAGATCAAGAGAAGCCAGCGTTTGTAGGAAATCATTCTGATCGTCAACTGTTTCTATTTCACCGCTGTTTCCTTGACACGTATAAAAATATGAACGCCAATCACCTACAATCTACTTTTGTTTCTTTATCAGCTTGTAAAGAAATGCTTAGAAGGAGTAAAGGAGATTTAATTAAGTGGAACCAATTCAATAATGTTTAAATGTAAAAGTTTAATCTAACAGGAAGCACTTTGTTTAGTGAAATCTCTTAATAACTTTCGCTTTTAAAATTATCCAGTAGTCCAGATAAATTGAGATGATAAAACACAGTAAATACAACTTATCTGATAGTGAGTGACTAGCATTGTTAATTAGTTATCAGCAAGAACAAACTGACATACTAAACAAATACCTAGTTTAAGGTCTTTCAAAAGAGCATGCGATCGTGATGCGCAAATCTGATAAAAAATATGGTAGTTGCGTTCATTTTCTGCCTAAAATAACGAGCATTATTAGTTAAAATTGGAAATAATTAGAGTTAAAACTATAGCGATGATCAGGAAATACGGATAGTTTAACAAGCGAACTAAGTCAGCAACACCAATTGTTTAGTTTCAGTCAATTTCTGCACTAATTTTTTAAATTTCATCTAGTCACCTGAAATACGACACGACTTTTTTCCAACAAATAAGTTCTCATCTCAGCACCAGCAATACCGAAATGATCATTGAAATCAATTTGTATATATTTTCCAAAACGAGAAGAATTATCATTTCGAATTGTTTTCGCATTTCCGATTGCTTCCATTATTGGATTTGATGCCAGAACACGATCCTCAATACCTGCCACCGGTTTACTGCCGTATGATTTGCTCGATGATGAACATGCCACTGATGCCAGATATCTAAAATTTACAAAAAATTCAAACATATATTCTTTTTAATTAAGAAAAAAAAAATTAATCTTTTGAAAATTAATATTTTTACCTCATAACAAATTTAGCAGAAACTGTCTTGCCAGCACCAGATTCACCGCTAACAATAACAGATTGATCTTTACCAAATTTAGATAAATCATAAAATGCTTCTTCAGCGACAGCATAAATATGAGGGTCAAGTTCTCGTACTTGTTTACCAACACCACGATATACCTGCATTTAAGCATTTCAATGATTAATCAAATCTTTTAAAAAATATAATAAAATAATAGGGTGACATAAGTAAAAGTATTTATTTGAGAAAAAACTTTTGGAAACAAAGTTAATTTACTTCATATGAACTTCAATCAATTACTCTCAATTATGTTTAAATGAAAATATACCTGTATAACGTCATCTCCGTAAAGTTGTGAACAATTTGCATACGGATTAATAGCTACTAAAACAATACCACAATAAGTGTAAATTGCTTCTCGTTTAACAAATCGAAAACTAAGATGATTGAGAACGGCAGGTTCATGCAAATAACTTAATGTTGTCAAATCATCGCAACCAAGTAACACATCTGGATTACGTAAGAATGGAAGTTCTTCTGATTCGTCAACCATAATTTCAATCACCTAAAAATGTTTATGATAATTATATTAAATTTAAAAAAAAAAAAAAAAATTGCTACTTGATAATGTGAATAGTATTATTAAAAAAAAGAAAAAAAAAATTACAACTTACTTGTCCATCTTGTAGCTGTACCTTATTTCGTGAATTAAACTTAAAGTCATCTAATAATTCACCACCTATCCAAACTTTTTCTGAATCTCTCAACCATATACGTGTACCTATGAAAAATGATAATAAGTGTACAATTCTGCAAAATTTATCGATCGATTAAATTCTTTCAACATTGTAAGAATTCAAAAATTTGAAATTTTTTGCACAAATCTATACAAAAAGTACATCTTTTTGCATTCGTTTTTTTTTGTTGTTTTTTGTCTTTTGAATAAATAAATTTTGATTCATAAAAAATAATTTAAGAATTATACCTTTCTTATAATTTTCAGCAGTAAATAGCTTCCCTCGATTAACTGTTGCAAAACCATTCATTATTTGTTATCCAAATGATAAAATAGGAAAAATCAATAAAAGCAATTTGTGGTATATTTGTTAGTTTCTTATCGTTAGAAATAATATCAAACCTATAAGCAAAAGATATATTACAAAAGAGACAAAGTAAGAAATAATCGATAATGATAAGGGACAAAGTAAGAAATAATCGATAATGATAAGGGACAAAGTAAGAAATAATCGATAATGATAAGGGACAAAGTAAAAAATAATCGATAATGATAAGGGACAAAGTAAGAAATAATCGATAATGATAAGGGACAAAGTAAGAAATAATCGATAATGATAAGGGACAAAGTAAAAAATAATCGATAATGATAAGAGACAAAGTAAGAAATAATCGATAATGATAAGGGACAAAGTAAAAATAATCGATAATGATAAGGGACAAAGTAAGAAATAATCGATAATGATAAGGGACAAAGTAAGAAATAATCGATAATGATAAGGGACAAAGTAAGAAATAATCGATAATGATAAAGGACAAAGTAAGAAATAATCGATAATGATAAGGGACAAAGTAAAAAATAATCGATAATGATAAGGGACAAAATAAGAAATAATCGATAATGATAAGAGACAAAGTAAGAAATAATCGATAATGATAAGGGACGAAGTAAGAAATAATCGATAATGATAACTTAATAATACTTTGATAAGATTATATATCCTTCTTATCATCTTATCAGCGCCTATTATAAACATTGATAAAGTTTTTATCAATAGAAAATACAAACAAAAATATTTAAGGTATAAGAAAATATTATCATAAGTTTAAAATAATGTTTTATATTTAGTTGGTAAGACTAAGTCTAATTCTGAATGCCATTACTGAATTAAATTAACCATGAAAATTTTACCCTCTCAAAGGTAAATAACAATTAGACAATAATAAAATCAAAAAACAAAACTTTAAATTCTGTAAAATTCATTCTTACCCAACATTTCTTATCTAATATCTTTCTTAATGATTAGATATTTTTGTCAATAAAAATGACTCTTCCCTATAAAATAAATCGTTCGAATGTAAAATTAAAAATGATAATGCTATCAGATTCTTATAAAAATAATATTAAAATCTTAAAGTAATAATAAATTATAATAATAATTAATAATAATTAATCAACAAATAGTAATAATTATAATAATAACAATAATTATAATAATAGCAACAATAATAACAACAATGGAATATTAACAATAATAATAGTAGTAATAAGATAATAATACTAACAATAACAAATAACGACGATAATAATAAAATGTTACAATTCATGGGATTCAGTAAAGAGATAAAGAGGAGGTGGACAATGTCCACAACAGTTGACAGTGGTCATTGGTTGTGGACAGACGTGACAGTCCCACATTTACAAATGACACATGGATGGATGGATGGATGGATGGGTCGAAGAGGATGAAAGTTATACATTTTGTTATTATTATTATTAATTTTATACTAATATAACTGCTACTGATGTCTCATTGTGAAAAAAAAAGAAAGAGAAAAAGATTTCAAAAATTTATCTTATGAGAGAAAAAGAAGCAAAAAAGGGAGAGAGAGAGAGAGAGAGAGATGAGAATGAATTTAATAAATAATTTATTAGTGGACAAAGGATAGTATATCATCTTAGCTTAGCAATTCTCTCGAAGATATAAACAAATGAAAAAATAAAAAAAAAAAAAGGAGGTAAAAAAATTCAAAAAATGAAAAATGACCTTGATTTATCGAACAAAATTGCTTTTTTTACTATATCTGTCGTGGAAATTTCATTTTTGGTGGTAAGAAAAAAAGCAAAAATTTAGACTAAAAAAAGTTTCAAATTAAAAAAAAAAAAGGTTTTTAAATTTAAATAGTTTTTGTAAAATGAAAAAACTTTATGCATCTTTTTTTATTTATTTATTTTACAACAATAAAAATCATTTATATGATAAACAAATATTGTCTCTCTTTTTTTCTTTCTTTCATCATTTTTATCAATTTTATCAGCAGCAAAATCAAATCATAGAAAAATGTTATAACTTTATTTAATTGTTGATGGTTGTCAATATTTAGGAAATAATTTTTTTTCATTTATTAAAAATACTCAAAAAAAAAAACTTTAAAAACAGTTTGTTACTTTTCAAAATTTACTCCTAATTCTTTCATTTTACTTATTTCGTTCCTTTTTTTTTTGCATTCTGATAAATTATTATTTATATAATAGAAATTCCTTTATCAATATTATCAAATTGTTTTGATATTTAGAAAAAAGTAAACAATCAATGGTTTTTAAAAAGAAATTTGATTTTAAATGTTCACAACGAAGATATTCTCAACAATAAAATTTCAAAAAAAAAAAAAAAAATATATAAATATTATATGAAATGTGAGAGAGAGAGATTTAAATTTTTAAACAACCTTACAATATTCACACTGAATAATGTGATAACTAATTCTGTGCAAATTTAATTAATACTTAAATACAAGAATTAAAGATAATAATTTCGAGAGTTAATTATCAAATTATTATTATTTTTTTTTCTTTTCCTTTTTAGGAGAGGAATGAATGATAGTAAATTAATTGTGAAAATTTGTAAAATCCAATCCATTTGCTTTCTTAAGGATTACTGATGACAGTGACCTTGCATATAGATATAATATAGGTATGAGTTACCTTGGAAACGAATATTAACAATAGCTATTGTTAATTTCAGAAATGGAAATGAAGTTGCTAACAATATAAAAGTTAAATATAAATATCAATAAATTTACAAAAAAATTTTGTCTCATTTCAATTAATTAACTTTTGTATTCTTTTTTTTTTTTTTTTTTTCTTTTTGTTTTTGCTAATTTTTAATTTTTTTCAACTTTTATTTTCCTCAAATAAAAATTTTGCTTTTGTTTACATCAAAAAGCTTTAAAGAAAAAAAAAAAGGAAAAGAAACGAAATTATTTATAATATAATTTCACTTCATCATCACTAAATAGTCTTAACAGTTGTAAACAAGTAAGTAAATAAGTAAAAGTTAAAAATTAGAACATCATAAAAATAGTGAAGAATGATTTCAAATAAAACTAAATGTTAAAATTAAATATTATTTTTTGCTAAAAAAAATTGAGAAGAAATTATTGGCAAAAAATTTTAAATTTATCTGTGTAAAAAAGACAAACTTGCTGAATTATCTTAAAAATTATCTTTGTTAAAAAAACAAAGAGTAATTGGAATAGTAAATTTTTAAACAAAAAAAAAAAGAAAAATAGGATTTAATATGAGAGAGTTTCAAATATTTGCTTTTCTTATATTAAATTTATCGATCTTCAAATTAAATTTCTAAAAATTGATAAGGAAACACAGTTTTAAAAAGAAAAAAAAAAAGAAAAACTTCTATTTAAAAACATTTTTAATATTATTATTCTCAAATTAGCACAATAATAATTAAATAAAAAAAAAAACAATTATTGTAACATTTTGAATTTTTGATTATTAATAACAATTAATAATACTTCTCACTTTTATCTTTTAATTTCTTTTTTTTAAAAATTTCAAAATATCTTTTTGTTATCTGTGACAAATTGATAGAATATTGGCTAATAAGGAGAGAGAGAGAAAAACATTAAAATTAACAAAGCAGTCATTTCCTATTAGTTATTGACATTTTTGGAAATAAAAAAAAAAAAAACAAAGAATGAATGATTAAGCATTTATGCAAGAAAGCGCAATTAGTAAAAGAAGCAAAGCGCAATTGGTAGAAGAAGCAAAGTGCAATCAGTAAAAGAAGCAAAGCGCAATCAGTAAAAGAAGCAAAGCGCAATTGGTAGAAGAAGCAAAGTGCAATCAGTAAAAGAAGCAAAGCGCAATTGGTAGAAGAACAAAGCGCAATTGGTAGAAGAAGCAAAGCGCAATCAGTAAAAGAAGCAAAGCGCAATTGGTAGAAGAAGCAAAGTGCAATCAGTAAAAGAAGCAAAGCGCAATTGGTAGAAGAAGCAAAGTGCAATCAGTAAAAGAAGCAAAGCGCAATTGGTAGAAGAAGCAAAGTGCAATCAGTAAAAGAAGCAAAGCGCAATTGGTAGAAGAAGCAAAGTGCAATCAGTAAAAGAAGCAAAGCGCAATTGGTAGAAGAACAAAGCGCAATTGGTAGAAGAAGCAAAGCGCAATCAGTAAAAGAAGCAAAGCGCAATTGGTAGAAGAAGCAAAGTGCAATCAGTAAAAGAAGCAAAGCGCAATTGGTAGAAGAACAAAGCGCAATTGGTAGAAGAAGCAAAGCGCAATCAGTAAAAGAAGCAAAGCGCAATTGGTAGAAGAAGCAAAGCGCAATCAGTAAAAGAAGCAAAGCGCAATCAGTAAAAGAAGCAAAGCGCAATCAACAATCACTTTTTTATCGATAAATCCATTTCTCTCCCTCTCTCTCTCTCCCTCTCTCTTTCTCTCTCTCCCTTTCTCTCTCTCTCCCTTTCTCTCTCTCTCTCTTTTATATACAAATAATCTCGCTTATATATGATTCAAACATTTGAATAAAAATGAATTGAATAAAAATCTTTATAGGAGCAATATTTTAATATTATTTTGCACCGTTTACTATCATAAAATATTATTAGCAATCGCTTTTTTTTTTTCCTTTTTATAAAAACTAATAATTTTATAGCATATCATTGTAATATTATTAATTTATAAATAATTTATACAATTAAATGAGTAATATTTTAATTTTAATAATTATTTAAATTAAAAAAAACGGATCATATTAAGTGGTACAATTTTTTTTTTAGTTTTTTTTTTTTAAAATAAAATTTTTTTGAACTTTAGTAAACTTTTGTAATTTCATAATATATCACAATGATAACATTAATTTATAAATGATTCAAAAACCAAAAAAAAAAATTTGATTCTAAATTCACAAATATACAAAAATTATTAAATATTTTTAAATATGTAATTAAAATTAAAATTAAAATTAAAATCTTTTTAACTAAAATTTTTACCAAATAAACAACTTTTTCA